AATCTTGTTCAGTATTTCTTCTTGTGCTTATTTGCCATCTGTATATATTCTTTGGTGATGCGTCCATTCAAATCTTTTGCTTTTTTTTTAAATAGGGTTATTTGTCTTCTAATTGAGTTGTAAGACCTTTTTTATAGGATGGGATACAAATTTGTTGGATATATGTTTTGCAAATACCTTCTCCCAGTTTATGCGTTTTTTCCCATTTCATTTCGAGGAGCAAAATGTTTAAAATTTGATGAAGTCCTATTCACTGATTTACTTCCTTGAAACTTCCTTCTTTTTGTGTTGTATCTAATAAATCCTCACAAAAGCCAAGGCTGGTAAGGTCTCCTCCTGTTTTCTTTAGGAGTTTCTGCTTTACATTTTTGTTGATGATACATTTTCAGTTAATTTTTGTATATGGTGTGGGGTAAGGATTGCGGTTCATTTTGTTGGTATGTAGTTATTCAATAGTTCCAGCACCATTTGTTGAAAATGAAATCCTAATTTTTAAATAATCTTTTATATATCTTTAATTTTATATGTGCTATGTATAACATCAGCTGCAAGTATTTCCCCCAGTTTGTCATTTGCCATGTTGATTATATTGTTTTTGGTCATGCAAAACTTTATTTCTGTATAGTCAAATTTATCATTGTTTCCCCCTGTTGTTTCTTGATTTTGAGTTACAGTAAAATTTCGTTAACTTCCAGGTTCTAGAGGAATTTATCCATGTTTTCATTCTAGTACTTGTTTGGTTTTGCTTCCACGTGAATCTCTGTTCCATTTGGACTTTATTCTGCTATGTGATGTGAAGAATGAGTCTAATTTTGTATTTTTTCCAAATGTCTATCTTGTTTTCCCATTTCTACATATTATGAAGTTCGTCCTTCTCCCCTGGATTTGAGATGCCACCTTTCTTTTATATCAAATTTCCAGCTGGAAGTGATCTCTCTAGGTGATGTTTTGACATTTTGGAGAGGCTCAGAGCCTGGCCCATGGGCACGGAGGAAGACACTGCACACAGAATAAACCACATGGGGTACCCGGCAGCTAGGCTGCCCCCACCTTTGTGTTGCTTCCAAGGAAGCCCAGGGGCCAGTGATGATTGTCTGGTTCTTGCCTGCCAAGTCCCAGGTGAGTAGTCAGCTGAGACTCTCCTGCTGCCACAGCTGCCCCGGCGTGGCCTGCACTGTCCTCAGCATCAGGGTCCTGTTCTCCCTTCCGACCCTGGAGTTACCTCTCGATCCTGGTCCTGCTCTCTCTCACACACTGTGCTCCAGAGTGTCCCTGGAGTTTGTGGGTTATTGATGGAAATAATGTCTGGATGTGGAGCAAGGAGAATACCCTCTAGTTCAGTGGTACCTGGCGGAGGGAGGGGGCTTTGGTGGGCGAGCGCAGTCAGGGGCATCTAGGTTTCAGGAGGTTGAAGGGAACTTCCAGAGAAGTCACAGTACAGAAGACTTATTGGTGTCTGTAAACCAAAGAGCAGGGTGGAAGATGTGGGGGCCAAAGGGGGCTTCTATATTTTTCGAAGGTATGAAACACTTTATTACTTACATAATGGAGGTCTCTGAGGAGAAAAGGGGAGTCCTCACAAACTGGTCTTAAATGGCTGAGAGAGCAAGGAGGGTCACTGGGCTGGGTCTTTACTGAAGTCAGAAGGTGTGGTCAGCAGGAGGGTCTCCAAGCATAGGTGAGGGCCTGTGTGCTTTCAGTGTCCTGCTGGCATCAGAGGAGGGAGCACCCGGCTCCCAGATGTGGGCACAGAAATGGGGAGGATGAGGCCTCACAGCCATCAGCAAACATCAACCAACAGAGCCAGACCACCAGTTATGACTCACCTTGAGGTTTGATGACAGAGACACACCATGTTCCGTTCAACTGAATCAGAGCTTGTTTAAATGAGCTGTGTGGCCCTCTGAGCAGACTGCAGCCTGAGGCTGGCAGGGGAGGTGAAGGTCCTGCTCGTGCCTGCTTCAGGGCAAGTGTGGAACTCCAGAGGAGGGCATCCTGGGGAGTACAGATAGAGACCTCTAGTGACCTTGATCAGTATTTTGGAGCAGCTATGAGGCAAGAGATTCCTGGAACTTTTTATACCAAAGGGGGCAACTTACTGTTTTTTTTCCCAGGGTATTATTTATTTTATTAATTTTTTGAAATGAATTACTATTTTTAAAATTTCTTAAAATGTTTTGATTTTTTTGAGGGGGGAGGTAATTAGGTTTCTTTCTTTATTAATTATTATATTTAATGGAAGCACTGGGGATTGAACCCAGGACCTCGTGCATGCTAAGCACACACTCTACCACTGAGCCACTCCCCCCAGGGGGCAATGCTTAGGCAACTGCACGAGTCTGTAAAGCTGTGCAGATGGGCCATCTGTTAAGCCAGGCCATCGGGCGCTGAGATAACAGCTGAAGTTTGCCCAGCTGTGCCGACCTCAGGGCTGGCCTTTTATCAAGGTAGCACGTCATGAAGTGAGAAGCAGTTCCCCTCTGAGCTCCATCTCCTAGTATGGTTGGCAGTTCTGGTCGTACAGGATATGAATGCCCACTCCTGTTCACTCAGTTCTCCCCAAGGGGCCCCCCAGGTTGCCAAAGGGCCTAGCACCCTGGCATCTGCAAAGGGACTGAGGATAGGTGAGGCCATCCAAGTTCTTGCCTGCCAAGTCCCAGGTGAAATATGCCAGAGAGCACAGGTTTAGTCCATCCTGTTCTGAGGTGGCCTCAGCAGCCCTGAGCATGACGAGCAGCTGGGTATGAAGGGTCACAGGCTCAGGATGGCCCAGTTTGTGGCCAGCAGCTACAGCTCTAATGGCATACTGTACAGGGACAAGAGGGCAGTTTCTTGCACCAGAAGCCCTCGGCCAACTAATGGTGCATTTCAGCAGATGTAAATTTAGCAGGTATGTCATAGAGACACAAAAGCTTTTTATCATTCTGTCATGTAAGCTTAGTAAGTTCTGAATGTCCAGTTGGGTCAAATTGTGGGTTTGCTTTGGTTTCCTTCCCCCTTTTTGAGGAGGGTCCTGTCTACTGCACTTATGCTGATAAACTTCCTCCTCCAGAGGGCCTTCAACCAGTGTCATCAGGGTCAAGTGCCTCTACAAGGCAAGGTTCCTTGATAGCGTTTAAGGACCCCCCCGGCTTAATTTGGGTTTGAATTAGTCCATTGGCACAGCTTCTCCCTAAAGCCCTGAGGGTAAGGATCTTTGCTGTGACACAGGTGGTGGCACACCAAGTGAGCTTCTGCTCTCTGGAGTGTGGGCCTGAGCTTGCCACCTAATGCCTGCTCTTCCATGAGTGACAACCCAATGGATGCATACCTTGCACAGGGTGCAGTCTCTCCCCTGAGCCTAAAGGCCGACAGGTCTGGGATCAGATGCACGACCCAGGGCCACTTTGAGGGGGGCCCAATTCCATGCTCCAGTCCCTAAGCACTAAGTAGGTATCAAAGCTGCTGATCCGGGTCACCTAACTCTGCAGCAGGGGCTCCCCGCGATCCCGCAGTGCAACACGTGCAGCTCGGCTGAGTGCACACTCGCCTGCAGACAGCAGGCCTGTTAGTAAAACCAGAGCAGGAGCAGAGAGACTCCAGGCGATGTCACTGTATGGGCATCCTGCTCCCAGTACCAATTCCAACTGTTATAGTCACCTGGAGAGGTGGATGGGCCCCCCTCCATTGAAGACTTGGCTTGACGTCAAGACTGATGATGCCATACACACACGTGTATGAAGAGGTTTAGTACTCACATACCTGAGGTCAGCAGGGATGGGTCCAAAGTGGTATGAGAGCACAAGCAGCACAAGACAAGGAGACTCACCTGGATGTTTGCTGTGGTTGGGGTGGGGCCAGGGAAGCCCCACCATGGACCAGCACGGGCCTGGGTGGCTTGAAACTTCTGCTGGCACTGAGGGAGGGGCACCTGGGCTTTCTTACCAGTGTGCCCAAATGTGGCCCAGGGGTGGGGAGGGCAGGAGTGAGGCTTAAATGCTGTCAACAGTCAAACATCAGAAAAATGGGTCTACAGATAACACGGAATATTACTCACCCATTAAAAAGAGTAAAATCTTGCCATTTGCAACAACATGGATGGACTTGCAGGGCGTTATGTTAAGCAAAATAAGTCAGACAGAGAAAGACAAATACTGTATGATACCACTTATATGTGGAATCCCAAAAATAAAACCAATGAATGTAACAAAAAAGATTCATAGAGATTGAGAACAAACTAGTGGATACTAGTGGGGGAAGGGAAGGGGCAAAACGGGGGTGGGAGACTGAGGTGCAAACTGCTCAGCCATCGTTCCCAGGAAGCACACTTCCAAGGATGCTGTGAAAGTCAAAGGAAAGACATAACCTGTGGTTGACAGAAACTTGCTTTTCAAGACCATTCTTCTTTGGAAACATGACATCCTGAAATGAAATTTCTCAGTGGACAGTATGCCCCAAATAGGTGAACCCTTCCCAGCTGCCAGCAGGGCCGAGCGGCCAGAGGAGCTGACAGCCACCGTCCTTCCTGTGGACCAGACCTCTGCCTCCCAGAGGAGGCCGGCTGCCTGCCTGTGCCTTGGCCCTAGGGGGCCCCCAGCGGCGTGGAGGCCAGGGGAGGGGGCAAAGGAGTTGAGAAGGGAGTGACATGGGCACATAGCAGACGGCAGACGAGCCTGTTAAAGGCAGGTCAGACCAAAACCCTCCAGCACTTTGCTCAGGGCGGGGCCACAGGCCTATGCAGGCCTGGCCCCTGTGGTCTCACCTGCCTGCCCCCTCTGCCCCTGCTCCACCCACCTCACTGGTCATTCTCTCACTTGCTGCAGGTCGTAGCTCAAACGACTTTCAGAGAGCCCGTCTCTGACTGCCCCCACTTTAAAAATGAACTCCCCAAACACTCAGACCCTGTTTCCTGCTTTACTTTTGCTTCACAGCACTCACAACCGTTGGGTAATTCTCTCACCCACTGGAAGGCAAACTCGAGGGCAGGCATTTGTCTAGTCTCCCCCAGTGAATGGCCCAGGGCAAGTTCAGCATGTATTTACTGAAGAAAGGAATCACAGAACCAGGCTGGACAAGGAGCCAGAAGAGGTGCCTGTTGTTAGGTGGGAGACCGGGCAGCTGAGCTGGAGGACAGGGCAGGGCTGTGTCCAAGCCGCACAGTGTTGCCTTAGTGGAGGGGCTGAAGCAGAGGGGAGGGTGTGACAGTGATGGCTGCTCAGCGTGGTCTGAGGTGAGGGCAGGCAACCAACCCACCCTGCCCAAGCCCATGGGACTCAGCTGTGCATCCGAGTCAACAGCCTCTCCTTCCTCGTCTGCAACTGCCAACCTTGCCTCTACTCCCCTGGAAGCCCAAAGCCAAAACCTTACCTTCCACCATAACACAGACCTCACAAAACCTGCCTGTTGCCTTCTCCCCTCCTGGGATAATGCAGGTGCCCCTCCCTCCACCCATCCTATGACACCCCCAGGTATAGACTGCTGGCTGCATCCAGGGGCCTCCCAGGTGGCAGAGGTGCTGCTTCTGGGCCAAGTTCCCCCTGCTTGGTGACTAGGGGCACAGCTCAGGGAAACTGAGGAGGGAACCAGTGCTCACCCAGCAGGTGATGCACCTGGGGAAAAGCTGAGCCTGGGAGCCTGTGGAGTGAACAGGAGGGGCACAGAGAAAGTTGGGCTCTGTGGTTAAGGCATGGAGCTGGAGGCTGGGAAACAGCCCCAAGTGGGACCACAGGGGCCCAAGTCACAGCAGAATGCAAAGGTAGGACCTCAGACTGCAGCCAGCCACCAGGGAGAGGGGCAGTGAGGAATCTTGCATCTCACTGTGGAATGGGAGGGACAAGAAAGGGTGAGGAGGTGGTGGCGTCGTGCACACACCACTTCTGGGGGAGGGTGACAACAATCAGACCTCAACAACTCTTGACCTGATTCTACGTGGACAGAATACCAACTATAGCCACTGACGAAGAACTTGCTCCTTACGACTAGTTATCGAACAAAAGAATTACCGTAGTTATCTGGAACCAAACGTCGGTGCACTTTTCTGGTTGTGTTTGAGAGTGCAGCCCTATAATCTCCTCCCTCCCAACACGTGGCAGTCTGATAACAAAACAAAAAGGACACGAGGTCACAGGAGGGGGAGCTTGGGCAGGAAGCCCATGAAGAGGTCTCATAGCAGGCCCAGCTCTGGGGACAGCGGGACAGTGGCCGTGAGGGTGGAGGTGTGGGTGTACCGGTCAGCTCTGGGGGCGGGGGCGGGGGGCTTCACTCCCTGCCGTGGACCAGCTGGTGCTTGAGCAGCTTGGAGCGCTGGCTGAAGGCCTTCCCGCAGGCGGCACAGTCATAGGGCTTCACCCCCGTGTGGATCCTCTGGTGCTGGATGAGGACCGAACGCTGGCTGAAGGCCTTCCCACACTCACTGCACTTGTAGGGCCTCTCGCCAGTGTGGATGATCTGATGCTGAATGAGGTGCGAGCTCTGGCTGAAGCCCTTCCCACACTCCACGCACGTGTAGGGCTTCTCCCCGGTGTGGACCTTCTGGTGGTGGATGAGGTTTGAGCTGCGGTTGAAGGCCTTACCGCACTGGCTACACTCGTGGGGCTTCAATCCGTTGTGGACCCGCTGGTGCTGAATGAGAGTGGAGCTCTGGCTGAAGGTCTTCCCGCACTCTGTGCATTCATAGGGCTTCTCCCCGGTGTGAACCCGCTGGTGGAGGATGAGGTTGGAGCTGCGCCCGAACGTCTTCCCGCATTCGTGACACTCGTAGGGCTTGTCGCCCGTGTGTACGCCCTGGTGCTGGATAAGGGCCGAGCTGTGGCTGAAGGCCTTCCCGCACACGCCGCAGGCGTAAGGCTTCTCTCCCGTGTGGATGATCTGGTGTTTCCTGAGCACCGAGCTGTAACCAAAAGCCTTCCCGCACACACCACACACGTGAGGCTTCTCTCCAGTGTGGATCCTGCGATGCTGAATGAGGCTGGAGCTCTGGCTGAAGGCCTTCCCACAGTCACTGCACTTGTAGGGCTTCTCCCCAGTGTGAACCCTGTGATGCTTAATGAGGTTGGAGACCCGGCTGAACGGTTTGCCGCACTCACTACACTCATAAGGCCTCTCTCCAGTGTGAACCCTCTGGTGCTTCCTCAGGTGTGAGCTCTGGCTGAAGGCCTTCCCGCACTCACTGCACTCGAAAGGCTTCTCCCCTGTGTGGATCCTGTGGTGTTTAATGAGGTTTGAGCTACGCCTAAAGGCCTTCCCACATTCATTGCACACATACGGCTTCTCCCCAGAATGAATTCTTTGATGCTGGATGAGGTTTGAGCTCCGCCTAAAGGCCTTCCCGCACTCACTACACTCATAGGGCTTCTCACTCATGTGGGACTTGAGGTGCTTTTTAAGGCTGGAGCTCTGGCCGAAGGCCTTTCCACATTCGGTGCACACGTGAGGCTTCTCTCCGTGGTGGCTAAGCCGGTGCTGGAGGAGTTCCAAGTGCATGCCAAAGGATTTTCCACACTCGCTACAGATGAAGGACTTCTGCCCAGTGTGCGTTATCTGATGCTGAGTAAGACCGTGGCTTCCTCGGAAGGTCTTCCCACACTCGCTGCAAATGAACTGGCCTTCGGCTGTGTGAACCCCTTCGGAGACGGTTGGGTCCAGGCTGCGCTGGGAGCTCTGATGGCTACGTGCACTGTGCAGACGTGCCCCCTCATCCAAAGTGACTCCCTGCTGTGCCCCTGGGTTTGGGCTCAGACTGCAGCTTCTCTCCGGGTCATCACAATCCACCTCTTTCTCTCCCATGTGGCCCTTCAGGGGCACCTGCTCCGGGGCGGAGTGGCCCTCCCCGTAGAGGAACCCCCAGTCTCTTTCTGATACATCATCACAGAGCTCTCCAACCTCAGGTGCCCGGGAGTCATCACTGGCATAGTTTTCTGATTTTCCTGCCTGTGATTCCAAATCCTCAGAAAGCTCTTCCTTCTGAAGAAACTCCTTGCCCTCAGTCCCAGGGGCCCAACCTGAAATAACAACCATGAGGTCACTTGGAAGGAAACAGGAAGTACAGACAAGCCTGGGAGCATGGGACTCACAGAGGGTGGTCCTGGGACTCTCGAGGGAACCGTGAGGGGCTGGGAGAGCTCAGGGGATGAGGCTGCCCCCCGCCCCCACATTTCAGGAATCACCTGCAGCCTCCCTTCCAAGGCAGGACAAAATCCTGGCCTGAGGTGAGGCAGGCTCTCAGCTGCCCTTCCCCTTGCGCGCAGCAGGCCATCAGCAAGTCCTGTTGGCTCTACCCAGGCGTGTGTCCCAAACCCAGGTGCTCACCCCTCCCGCCTGCTCCAGGAAAGCACCGCACACTGCCTGCTACACTGCTGAGGGTGCTCCCCTCTTCTGTTTCAGATGCACAGCGCACGGTGTCAGCTGCTCAGGCCCAGCTGTTTGTCTCCCAGCACCAAGCACTGGCATTGGCCTCACTGTAGGAGTCCCAGTGTTGGGGGCGGGCCCCGAGCCAGCAGGCGCAGGGGACTTTTCCCTTCAGAGGAGGAGAGCAGCCTCTGACTGTGTCATGTCATGGCCTCTGGAATGTCAAGTTCTGTCCCACTCAACAGAGGATCCTTCAGAGACCAGGCCCCATCCTGCCAAGGCCGCCTGACTCACAGAAATGCATTCTGACTGGTGTCGGCTGATACAGGGGCTAAACTGCTGCCCCACCCTTCTGCGGTGGAGGCATGCACAAGGCTGCTTCTTTTCATGTCTAAAGTATCTCTCACTCTCCTGTTCAAATGGAGACACAGGCCATGCCACCGCTGCCTGTTCCTGCCTGGATGGGGAGTAGCTTACTGGCCTCCCACCTTCCCTCCCGCCCACAACAGCCTGGTGACATGGGAGCAAGTGAACCGTGCACCCACCCCAGATGGTCCTCAGCTCCCCCTTCCCACCGCTGGTCTCTGCTTCAGCACCTCACAGGAGAGGGCTTCTCTGACCACTGCCCCTCCTTGCTCTCCCCACACAGCCCTGACTGCCCCAGACAGGGCTGTGTGTCTCAGAACTGGGGCCACCCAGTGGTGCTGAGTGGGTGGGTGGACACCCCTCCATATCCCCAGCCTCCTTGGGCCTGCTGCCCTCTGCCCTGCCCCTCAGTTCAGGACGACACTGCCCCTCCTGCCTGGAACTTCTGGGATCTACTACCACAGCAGCACCGTCTCCCCTCATCTGGACACTTGTTCTCAAAGGAGTCGCCACTGATCTCAACACAGAACCAGACTGCCACAAACTCAGCCTGCCTGCCTGCCACGCCCACGTGCCTGGTGGTGACAGTTCACGTCCCCGTCACCTGACCCGTTGTCCAAACACGCTGCTTGTGGCATGCCCGCTGGGCCACGAGGCCAGCACACAGAGGGAGGCACCGAGGTTGGACTTCCTGCTGACCCTCAGGCAGGCCAGTCCTTACACACGGCACGCGGGATCCCAGGAGTGATGAGGGACCTGGTGTAGTAAACAAGGGTCTGGCTAGGATGGCCCAGGACCTCTATGCTCCCACTGCGCCCCATGACTAACCCAGGGAGCCCCCACACTCTTCTGGCTGCAGGTGGAGAAGGGATGGAGCTTTTCCATAAGGGGTCAGAGGGGACCCATTTCAGGCTCTGTGGCTGCGTGATATCTGTCACACAGTCAGCTTTGTTAAAATGCTTAAAAAACCTTAGAACTGTTCTTTGCTTGCCAGCCATAAAAACCACAGGTGGGCTGGATCTGGCCTTGGACCATGGTTTGCTGACCCTGACTGAGACAAGGTCACTGGTGTGGCTCAGGAGGGGTGGCCATGGGAACTGGTTTTGGGCCAGAGTGACTGTCGACCTGGAAGCCTTTCACTGAGACAGGAGACAAGTCCGGTGGTGAGAGTGATGAGAGGTCACTCCTGATTTGTTAAACCCGATGTAATGTTCTCAGCAACATAAGAACTATTGGAAAAAATGATGAAAAGTTCCTCTTTTGAAGGGAAATATAAAATCAGAAACATGGTTTCCCTTAAGAAAATGTTAAAAAAAATAAAACAATCGAGATTGGCTGTGAAGGTGAAGGACAAGGTCTGAAAACAAACGCAGTTGTTTCCACTGTCCTCGCTGCCCAACGAGTGTGATGCAACTGGAGAGAAGGGGAGCTCTGAGCTCTCCCAGCACATGATAAACCACCCGTGTTTCCTGAGAGAAGCGCTCAATGAAGACTGTGATCAGCAGCTTCCGGGTTCACGAAGAGCAGCTCAGAGAGGCACCTGCCTCAGAGCCGCGCTCGTGTGAGTGCCACATGTGGCTGCGGCGCTGGCTGCTGAGGGGTGCAGCAGGGGCCACACCCAGTGCCTGACCCCTCGCTTGCCACACAGACCCGGGGACCACACCCCCAGTCCGGCTCCACTAGTCTCCCGCCTCCCGCCGTGGCTCTGCTTTTGTTTTACTTAATAGTTTATTGAGGTGAAATTCACAAACATAAAATTAGCTGTTTTAAATGAACAATCAGTGGCGTTTAGTATATTTACAATGTTGTGCAGTCAAAACCTTATCTTGTTTCAAGATATTTTCATCACTCCAAAGCCCATCAGTTTACCCCCGTATCTCCCTGCCCCAGCCCCTTGTAACCAACCTGCATTTTGTCTCTATGGACTTAACTATCCCTGATGTCTCACTCATATAAATGGAATCAGATGGTATGTGACTTTTGATGTCTGGATTCTTTCATGTAACCTAATGCTTTTGCAGGCTCATTCACACTGCAGCAGGTATCAGTACTTTGATCCTTTTTGTTTCGTATTGTTAGGTTTATTTATCTTTTGATGGAGGTACTGGGGATTGAACCCAGGACCTCATGCCTGCTAAGCACATGCTCTACCATTGAGTTATACTCTCCCACCTTCATGCCTTTTCATGGCTGAGTAATATTCCACTGTGTGGCTATAACACATTTTGCTTATGCATTCTTCCACTGATGGCCATCTGGGCTGTTGACACCTCTTAGTTATTGTGAACAGTGCTATGAATGCGATGTACATGTGCTTGTTTCAGTACTTGCCTTAAACTCTTGGAGCATATATCTAGCAGTAGAGTTGCTGGGTCACACGGTAATGGTATGTTTAAACTTTTGAGGAACTGCCAAATTGTATTCCACAGTGGCTGTAACATTTTCACATTCCCACCAGCAACGTATGAGGGTTCCAATTTCTCCACATCCTTGAAAACACTTGTTAATTATTTGATTTCTACAATCATCCTAGTGGGTGTGAAGTGGTAATCTTATTGGGGTTTTGATTTGCATTTCTCAAATGACTAATAAATTTGAACATCTTTTCATGTGCTTGTTGGTTATTTGTATATTTTCTTTGAAGAAATGTCTATTCCATTCCTTGGCTCATTTAAAAAGCAAGTTGTTTGTCTTTTGTTGTTGAGTTGTAGTTCTCTATATATTCTGGGTACTAGACCTTTACCAGCTATACAGTTTGCAAAGAGTTTCTCCCATTCTGTAGGATGTCTTTTCACTTTCTTGATAATGTTCTTTCATGCCCCAAACTTTTTTTGATGAAGTCCAATTTACCTTTTTCTTTTGTTGCTCATGCTTTTGGTGTCCTATCTAAGAATCTATTGCCAAACCCAAGGTTATGAAAATATACTGTTTTCTTCTAACAACTTTATGACTGTGGTTCTTGTATTTGGTTGTTGGATGATTTCAATGTTTGCATATGGCATGAGGTAGTGAGTCCAAGTTCATAGTTCTGCATGTGGAAATCTACTTGTTCAGCACCATGTATTTAAGAGTTATCTTTCTACACTGAGTAGTCTTAGCACACTGGTTGAAAGTCAATCAGCTTCAGACGTTTGGGCTTATTCTAGACTTCCAATTCTATTCCATTGATCTATATGTTTATCCTTATGTCAGTACCAAATTGTTTTGATTACTGCAGCTTTGCAGTAAGTTTTGAAACCGGGAAAAATGACTCCTCGGATGTCCTTTTTCAAGTTTGTTTTGGCTATTTGACGTCCCTTGTAATTACACATGAATTTGAGGATGGCTTTTCCGTTTCTGCAAAAAAAAAGGCTGTTGGAATTTTGATAGGGATTGTATTGAATCTACAGGTTGCTCTGGATAGCACTGACATCATAACATTATTAAGTCCAATCTATGGACATGGGCTGTCTTTTCAATTATTTAGGTTTTCTTTAATTTCTTTTGGCAATGCTTTGTAGTTCTCAGTCAACATGCCTTTCACCCACTTGCTTAAATGTATTTGTAAAGTTTTTTTCTCTTTCATGCTATTATAAATGAATTTTCTTAATTTCCGTTTCAGGTTGCTCATTTTTGCATACAGAAACACAGCTGATTTTGTGTTGACTTGTACCTTGCAACTTTGCTGAATTCTATTTATTTGGGCTAGTAGCTTTTTAATGGATTCGTTGAGATTTTCTACATTTGGGATCATGCCTTATGCAAACAGAGATAATTTTATTTCTTCCTTCCCAATTAGAATGCCTTTTATTTCTTTTTCTTGCCTGATTGCTCTGGTCAGGACTTCCAGTAAAATAATGATATACTTGAAAGCAGGTATATTTTCCTGATCTTTGGGGGAAAGCTTTTAATATTTCACTAATATATACGATGTTAGGTGCAGATTTTTCGTGAATATCCTTTATCATGTTGAGGAGGATGCCTCGTATTATTAGTTTTCCTAGTGTTTTTATCATGAAAGTATGTTTGATTTTGTCAACATATTCTGCATCGAGATGATTAGTTTTTCTCCTTCATTCTATTAATGTGGTGAATGGCACTGACTGGATTTCATGTTGAATCACTCTTGTGTTCCTGGGTTATATCCCCCTGGGTCATGGGGTATAATACTTTTCACGTGCTGCTGGGTTCAGTCTGATAGCGTTTTGTTGAGGGTTTTGCACATTTAGCCATAACATGTCTTGATATGCAGTTTCCTTTTCCTGTGATGTATTTATTTGACTTTCTTTCCTCTTCTATAGTTTGGAAGAGTTTGAGAAAATTAGTATTAATTCTTTTTCAAATGTTTGGAAGAATTTATCAATGAAGCCATTTGGTCCTGAATGTTTGTCAGGAGTTCTTAAAATTACTGATTCAATCTTTAATTATCGTTAAGTCCATTCAGATTTTTCTACCCTATTCTTGAGTCACTCTTGGTAATTCTTTTTTTAATTTACAGGAATGTATCTCTTCCATCTAATTTATCTAATTTGTTGGTATGCAACTGTTAAGAGTATTCTTGTTTACTCCTTTCTACTTTTGTAAGGTTGGTGGTAATGTCCCCATCCCATTTTCATTATGTATCTTCTTTTTTTGTTACTTTAAAGGTTTGTCAATTTTGTCGATCATTAAAAAAAACCTTTAATTTCATTGATTCTCTATCATTCTTCTATTGTTTCATTTATTGTTTCTGCTCCAATGCTTACCGTCTCCTTCCTTCTGCTGGCTCTGGGCTTAGTTTGCTCTTCTTTCTTTTGATCTTTAAGATGAAGTTATGTCGCTGATTTAGGGTCTTTCTTTCTTTTTAACGTAGGCGTTTACTGCTATACATTTCCCCTTTGGCTTTACCCTACCTGCAACTCCTAAGTTTTGGTATTTTGTGGTTTTGTTTTCATTTGTCTGTAGGTATTTTCTAACCTCCTTTGTGATTTCATCTTTGACCCACTGGTTAAGAGTGTGTGGTTTTATTTTTACATACTTGTGATTTTTCCAGTTTTCCTGCTGTTACGATTGGAGATGATACTTCTCATTATTTCAATTCTTTAAAACGTAGTAAGACTTGCTTTGTGTCTAACATGCAGTCTGTGCTGGAAGATGTTCCATGTGCATCTGCTCCTTGCTGGTGTGCATATCTATGACTGTTTAGCTCTAGTTGGGTTACAGTGTTGTCCAATTTCCTTATTTCATTCTTGAACTTGTTTAGATGTTCTATCGATTTTTGGAAGTGAGGTACTGAAATCTCCAACCATTGTTGTAAAAGTATCCACTACTCCTTTCAAATCTTTGCTTGCTTCATGTACTTTGGTTCTTTTTTTATGTGTAACTGCTCTACCTTCTTAATGAATCAACCCTTTCATCAATATATGATGTCCTTCTTTTCTCTTGTAACAGTTTTTGACTTAGCTGATTTTGTCTGGTATCAGTATAGTCATTCCAGTTCTCTTTTGGTTACCATTTGCATGAAATGTATTTTTTCACTTTTCAACTTAAGCTTATTTGTTTCTTTGGATTTAAAGTAAGCCTCCTGTAGGCAGCATATAGTTGGATCATGCTTTTTAAATCCATTCTGTCAATATCTGCCTTTTGACTAGAGAGTTTAAACCAGTAACATTTAAAGTAATTACCAATAATGACTCACTTCTGCCACTTTGCTTTCTGAATCTTTTGTTTTTGGTATCTTTTATCCCGTTTGTCCCTCATTTCCTCTATTACTGCCTCCTTTTGTGTTCCATTTCGTTTCTCTTTCTTCCTTCCTTCCTTCTTTTTTCTTTTCTTTCTCTTCTCTCTCTCTTTTGGAATTGTATCATCTTGACTGTCTTTATTCCTTTTGTGTATATTTCAAAGATATTGTCTTAGCGGTATCATGGGGATTATAATTAACATCCTAACATCGTAAAACAATCTAGTTTGGTACCCTCCTGCTTTGTTGAACTATTAATTGCCATGAAACATCGTGTAAGTTTAAGCTGTGTGACAGGGTAATATGATATACATATATACTATGAAATGACCACCACCATAAGGGTAGCTAACACATCCATCACCTCACATAGTTACCATTTTGTGTATGCGTGTATGTGGTGAGAACTTTTAAGACCTACTCTCTTAACAATTTTCAAGTATATAATACATTAATTATAATCACCATGCAGTATATTAAAACTCCCAAATAAAGCCATCAAGTTTGAACTGATACCAACTTAGCCACCATAGCATACAAAAACTCTGCTCCTACACAGCTGTGTTCCCACATTTCTGCTGCTGCTGTCACAGATGAATGTGTATGTTGCATGTTCACTAGTGCAGGTTTATGATTGTTTTTATGCATTTGTCTTTTAAATCAAATAAGAAATAAAAAGTGGGGTTATATACCAAAAATACAATAACACTAGCTTTTTAACTTACCTCTGTAGTTAATTTTACCAGAGATCTTTAGTTCTTTGTATGGCTTTGAGTTCCTGTCTGAATTCCTTTCATCTTAACTGCTAAGACTCCCTCAACATTTCTTATAGGGCAGGTCTATTGGTAATAAACATCCTCAGCTTTTGTTTATTTGGGAGTGTCTTCATTTCACCTTCGTTTTGAAAGATCATTCTGCCAGATACAGAATTCTTACTTGGCATGTTCATTCTCTCAGCACATTAAATGTCCTCCCACTGCTTTCCAACCTCTAAGGGTTCTAATGGGAAACTGGCTGTTAATCTTACTGAGGATCCCTTGTACAAGATGGGTTTCTTGCCTTTTGTTAAGATTCAGTCCTTTCACAATTTGATTACGAGTCTTGGTGTGGGTCTCTTTGTATCCTGGCTGGAGTTTGTGGAGCTTTTTGGATGTGTGGATTCAACTCTTTCATCAAATTTAAGCCACTTTGGCCATTTTTCCAGTATTCTTTCAATCTCCCCTCCCCCATCCTCTGTCTTGGACTCCCAAATGTGTGCTTGTTCCCTTGATAGTATCCCATGAGTCTGCTAGGCTCTGTTCACTTTTCTTCAAACTTTTTTCTTTCTGCTCCTCAAACTGGATAATTTCAATTGTCTGTCTTCAAGCTCACTGATTCAACTGCTTGCTCAAATCTGCTGTTGAAACCTTCCAGCAAATTCTTCATTTTAGTTATTGTAATTTTCAGCTCTAGGATTTCTAATCTCTTTCTCCATTCTTTCTTTTTATACAAAATTGTATATTTGTACTTTTCTCTACTGATATTCTCAGCATCGTTTCTCTTTAGTTCTTTTTCCATGGTTTCTTTTAGATCTCTGTGCACATTTAACAGAGCTGATTTATGGTCTGTCAAGTATCTGTGCTTTTTCAGGGATGCTTCTGCCAATTAACTTTCTTCCCTTGAATGGCCCAGCCATATTTTCCTGCTTCTTTTTATTCGTTGTGATTTTTTGTTAAAAACTGGACATTTGAATATTTACTGTGGTAACTCTGTAAATCAGTCTCTCCCATCTACAGGCTTTTTTTTCCCCCCCTGTTCTCAATTGTTGAAGGCTACAGTCATCTGTTAATTTAGTCATGTTCCAAACTATTTTTGCAAAAACTGCATTCCTTGTAATGTGTGGTCACTGAGGTCTCTGTTTCTTTAGCTTGTGTTCAGCTACTGTTTTGATGGAGGTTTCCTTGAACACTAACAGTAAATAAAAATAATACACTTCTCCCACTTTGTGGATTGGCCCTGTGCTGGGACTCTATTTACTACTCTGATGTGGCTTCCTGCTTCCACTGATCTTAGAGATCAGCCGAGGTGAAGCTACAGTCTTCACAGGTCTTTTCTAAGACTACATCCTATCCTGGACACGTGTGTGGCCTTTTTCAATTCCCTGATATATAAGGGTGTTTTTGAATACCCTCATTTTTCCAGCTCTCCCTCTTAGGTTTTAGGTGGTTGACTGTATTGTGGGGTTTTAGTTCACCTTACAATGTGTTTGGGCCCACCACATTTCTTTTCTTTCTTTTTCTTTTTGAGCCCACCACTTTTCTTTTCTTTTCTTTCTCCCTCACCCTCCCACCTTTTTTTTTGAGCTCACCACTTTTCTGCTGAGTAAGTTCTGAGTTAGGCAACATAGAGACACTGCATCAATTCTTTATCAAACCCCACATAAGTGAGAACAAAATGGTTTTTGAATGAGTTCTGCTCTGCTCCCTTTGGAACCAGGGACCAGGGTCCCACACTGGGAACACAGGCTGCTCACTTTAAGACTGCTACTGAACCAGGGAGTGTTTGCTGAGTTTTCCTTTTTAAGTTGTGTTTTTCTTGATTCAGCATTTGCTTGGTTGCTGTAAACCTGCATATTTTCTACATTTCTGACAAATTTGTTTTGGCAATTTCTACTTTTTTTTTTTTTAAACGTTTATGTGGATGAACTGGTGTCAGGCGCTGCCTACTCCATTTTGCTCTACAGAGGCTTTTAAGGTTGAGCTATCATCAGCCTGTTTTCTCCCTGGAGCAAGAGTCCTGGCCTAATTCACCATTCTCTGCCTGGCATATCCTTGGGCATCTGGCAGCAGGCTTGTCCCTCAGGGTGACTTCTTGGGACTCCGTCATGTTTCTCATCTTCTATCCATCCCTTCCCTCTAACAGACGTAGGACTGCCCCGTACCACTCTGCCTAACCTTCCCTGGCCACACAAGGTCTGACCAGGGTTCTCTGCTCAGATGTCCTGAGTATAATTAATAGGTCCCACACAGTTAAGAGTGTCTTCTTGTAAAACAAATCCCAGTAAGGAAAGCGTACAATGATCCTAAGACTGCTGAGAGGCTCACAGAAAAGGTGAGTTAGTGAGGGGTCTTCAGGAAGGACTCTCCGGTATTTGAAGGGGTTGGGAGTAGCTGGCAGTGTGAATGCAGCCAGGAGGGAATAGGCCAAGGATGGACTAGGGCAGGGGTCCAAGCGCAGGGACCAGCACCAGCTTGGTGAATAAGTAAGGCAGGGCTCAGCTGGTGACCATCACGCTACATCCCTCTGTGTCAAGTGAGGAAACCAGGGTCCTGCTCAGGGCACCAGGACAGCCAGGCACCAGGCCAACTTTCTCTCTGATCTCTGCCTTGGCCCCTCAGATCCACAAGCACCCTGCCCCTAACTACATGGACACCTCCTGAGGTAAGTACTAGGTGATGTAGACAAAGTCCCCCCAGAACAAGGCATCAGAACAAGGAAACACACTCCCAGTACCTGGCTGATGATGCTGAAGGGCAGATCCAGGGTGGGTCATGGCGGGAGCATCACTCACACAGGCCTGGGTTCCAGGGGTCCAAGGGGATGGTCCTGGAACTGAGGGCTCCATTTCTGCCTCTTCAGGGCGAGCTCTGAGGCTGGGCATGGCTGGGACCTGGAGACCAGCAAGGATGCAGGTGAGTGTGCAGAGGGTCCTGGGACTCGTTCTCCCACCAGGCAGGGGTTACTCCCTCCACCCCTGTAGCCTGAGACCTGAAGAGGGCCTGGTGATTGATGCCACATTCCCCGATTCCAGAACCAAGGGGAGGGTCACCCAGGGACACAGACTCACGAGCAAAGGTAATGGGTGGGAAGGGGCGAGATGATGACCACAAGGCAAGGTGAGCACACAATGCCCTGTGGGAACCACCTGGAAGGGTTCAGGTCTGCCTTGATTAACAGAGCAGCTCCTGTGGAGCCTGTGCCTCCTGTGGGACACTCCTTGTTCCTGACACAATGCCCTGGAGGTTCACCACCAGACCCAGTCACTGGCAGAGCAGCAGCTCCAGAGTTTGGGTTGCCAGGGGTAGCATGAACTGCAGATATGCAGAGTCATCACAGTGCCATCCTAGTGGTCAATCCTGTCTGACTGTGCCCTCTTGGCAGCATCCACAGAGGGTGTCCCCAACCCCACCCTCCTGGGCTGCCCTTCTGCTGCACCAGTGGCTCCCTTCGAGGCTCCTCCTTATCTCCCTCTTCACGTTGGTACCCCAGGGTTCACTTTTTTTCCTATATTAACTTCCTCGGTTAATTTGTCCAGTCCTAAGGCATCAACATCCTTTATGCTGTGAAGACTTTCAAACTTGGGCTCATCCCTGGCTCTAAGTGCTCTCTCTGAGCAAGAGACGGGACATTCCCACCTGGACACATGATCGGTCCCCCACATGGACCAAGTTACTAATTTCCTCCAACCCTCCCACTGCTGTCTCTGTGCAAATGCACTGTGCTCTGCCCAGCAGCCCACCAGGAGTGGAGTGACACATCTTGGCCCCTTACTCACACTACAACATCTACAGGTACCACTGACCTCTCTGCCCTTCAAGGGTGGAGAAGACGAGGCAGGACATATTGGCAGAAGCCCAGGGTGGCCACTGCCAGCCAATCTTTGGACTGGATTTCTCCACTTGGACACATGCTTTCAATGTTTCCAAAACACCCACTATATTCCAGGGTCTGTTCTGGGGACAGTGTGACCATCACCCTCACGGATCTCACTGGGGAGACAGATAACAGCAAATGCATCATATGAGATGGGCAAGTGCTCTGGACACAGGTAGTAGGGGAGGGGTGGAGCCTGGGGCAGGTGGGCATTTAAACCAGGACCAGAGAAGAGAGCTTAGGCCATGCCTGCTGGAAAGGTGGGAGAAGGCAGGGGTGAGATGGTGGACAGAGCTCAGAGACAGGATTACTGGGGATGGACTATAGGAGGCCATGACTGACTGATGAAAGTGAGGCACCAGCCGTATTTCTACATTAGGAGAGTCAGAACTCACGAACCATCTCAGGAAGATTAACCTGGTGTGGTCACTCAAAGGAATGGTGCAGGTGAGACTCAGAGCAGGGAGAGCACTGACTCAAGGCACCCAACCATGCAGCAGCAGAACAGGGCAGATGCTGCTTTCAAGGGTGAACCTTCACTTTCCCTCTCCCAAGGGGAGACTCAATCACTTGCAATATTTACTCAGTTCATTCCATTTAAATATTCCTGAAATGATCATCACTGTCTCTGAATTGGAGCACAGTCATAAGGCTCAATATTCAAAAGGTTAAGAGGACTTAAGGTGGAGTATCTCCCAGCCAGCCACTTAGTTCCCCTTCCCAGGTTCTAATGTATCCTTCCAGATTACTGTTAGCTTACAAAAGCAAATACGTGTGTCTTTCACCTTCTTATTATAAACTGTACCAAATGATGCTCGTTTTACGTCTTGTTTTTCTCACTTCAATATACATGGGATCTTGCCCAGGAGGACATAGCTCCAGTCTATGTAGACAGAATGTCCCTCCCTACCCATTTCCACATCCTAATGTAACCTATGGATATTCTACGCTGCACAGCAAAAAGAGATTCTGCAGAGGAAAGTAAGGTTACGGGTCTTAGTTATCCTGGAGGACGCAACCTAATCACACGAGCTGTTGCTGACTCAGAGGTGCTCCAGGAGCTAAGGACAGTCAGCAAGGAAACATGCACCCTCGGGAACCGATTCTACCAACGAGCTTGGAAGCTGGTTCTCCTGGCTACAGGCTCAACCTGATGCTAAGATACGACTTCAAGGACCAGCAGCCACAGTCCACGCAGGCATCCACAGAATGGACATGACCCAGCCTTCAGCCCCACTCTCCATCCCCAGAGCCCGTTCTCCATCCGGAGGGGGAATCCATCACCGACTGGGCCTCCAGGCCGGACAGTTGGCGCCAAGCGACACCCCATTCATTTCTCACCCCGCTGCGTACAGCTCTGATGTTCGCAGCGAATTCCTGGGGCGCGTCTACCACCCTCACCCCACGCGCCAGGACACCATTCACCGCGCACCCGTCGGGGGGCGCCCCCAACAAGCCCTCCGGGGAGGGGCCCTCCGAGGCAGCGCTCGCCCCTCCGCCCGCGGCCCCCACGACCTCCCGCGCATCCGAGCTCAGACTGCCCGGGCTGGCTTGCACTGCGGGGGCATCAGAGTCACGCGGGAGCACGGTCAGCAACGTGGACGCTTCACCCGGGCCACCTCCTACCTCCGGGGTCTCTCCGGGAAGCGCGCAAGGCCGTAAGGCCAAAGCGGCTCGGCCCCGAGGCGGACTCCGGAAGTCCCGCCTCAACTTCCGGCCCGCGGGCCCGCCCCACCCAGCGTAGCCTCTCTAGGCTGCGGGAGGTCGGGGCTACACGGTGGGCCCGCCCCCGACTCCCGCGAGGTCCCTGGCGCCAGGAGAGCCCTACATTCAGAATTGGCTCATGCAACTAATTGACCAGGTGGCAAACAAATATAAAAAAAGAGAGAAGCGATTATAAATTCAGGGAGAACCAGGGACTTAGATACACAGGTACCTAGCATCTGAACAGATTTTGCTTGATCAAAAATGGGATGCACGTGGAAGAACCGAATCCCTCAGTACATGATTTGACAGACAGATGGAAAAAACCCAAATACCTTCAATAGATAATGTACATTGCGCCCATGGGACATTTATAAAAATTGATTATACATTTCTACGTAAAGAATACAAGTATTTTAAAGTATGCATTTGACAGGCAGAATAAACTATCAAAATTAGAACAGAAATACGTAATAAAAAGTTGACCCAAACCCTTTAACTACTGGACTTTACAAAACAGTGTCTACATTAACTTATGTATCAAAAATGATACTAGCTGGAAAATTACAGACTATTTACATAGCAATAAAAAGCAAAGCACTTCATCCCCACACCTATAGAACTCAGTGTAAAGTATAAAATATATAATATTCATTGAATATTTTTCAGAGAAAAAATATAATGTGTATCAACCTTAAATACTTTTTCATTATTAAAGAAGACAAAAACATTTATCTTAAGCTAGAAAAAGGAACATTTTTCTGCAGCAGCAATAACCGATCATATAAGGTAACAAGAAAGTAATGTCCACCACAATAGCAACAAAAACTATGAAATACTGGGGAATTAACAAGGAACACTCAAGACCTCTGTGAAGAACACTCTGAAACTCTAGTAAAGGACACAGAAGATGATCTGAGTGAATGGAGAGAGATTTCTTGCTCTATGATGAGACAAGTTAATAATTCAAAGTATAAAATTTCCCCCAATTTAACCTATAAATTCACTGCAATCCAATCAAAATTCTAATTAGAATTTTACAAGGAAACTTGATGTAATGGAAAAAGAAAAGTCACTGAATAAACAAGTTAATATTGTATAGCACAGGGGACTATTCAGTGTCTAATACTGAAAAGGAATGTATGTATGTATACGTATGACTGAAACATTGCCGTACACCAGAAATTGACACATTGTACACTGACTATACTTCAATTAAAAAATAATCATAAGCCAGGCTATTAAGCAAATCTTACAAATTAAAAAAAAGTCACTGAATAGCCAAATAAGCCTAAAAAGGGAAGCAGGCAGCTGTGCCATCAGTATCAGCACTAGAACTGACAAGCAGGAAAAGCAGCACAAAAGGGAGCTTGAGGGTCAGACTTCCGCACACGTGTGATTTAACAAACGATAAAAGTGGTACCACCATCCGTGACAGTTTTGGTTGTTTAGAAGGTGCTGAAAAAGTAATCTCACTCAATGGAGAAAACCAAAACCAGATCCCTGACAACACATGCAGTGGGAGTCTCTCAGTGAACTAAAGACCTGAATGTGGACAGTAAAGAAATGAGGTTAACAGGAAATATTTTCGACACCCTGGGAGGAGATGCTCTGATTAGCCATCAGAGAAACACAAATTAAATGGCAGAGACACCACCTCACGTAGCTGGGCTGGAGGGGTTAGAAGCCTGGATAACTCGTGCTAGCACCTGAAGTTTGGGTATTTTTCTCTCATGTAAAAATCAGAAGTCTGTATGGCAGGTTCCCCAAGGCAGTGGTCAGGGACCCAGCTTCCCTGCCTGAGGATATCCTGCTTGATGAATTGGAGGGGAAGAGGGAATGGAAAAGGGAGATGAGGAGCTGCTTCTGCTGCAGTCTCCCCTGTGGTCACCTGCTGCAGCAGGATACATCCCCTGGCCAAGAGGAAAACCCCATAGTCCTGTCCAGTCGCTAGGCAGCTCAGCTGAGTCCCTATGGACAAGGTGCAGCCTCTCCACCAGGTCCTGGAACAAAGGGCAAGTTGCCTACCCCCCCCCCAAGTCTGCAGTGTGGAGAAGGCTGAGGAGGGGAAACAGCAGTCGTCCATACTGTGCTGGCTGCGTGTCCAAGGGTGAGGCTGATGTGGGGTTGTTGGGTACACTGTGTAGCTGTTTTGGATGCCATAATTTCACACACTTGTAAGCGAGCTTAGCAGTCACCTCTGCACAGGGAGTGCAGTCTCCTGCTGAGACCCTCTCCCTGGCAGGGAGGGAGCTTGAGCACAGCAGCGGGCTCAGACTCAGCTCTGGGAGGAGCTCTCTGGGCCCTGGGTCTGTCAGCGGACTTGGCCCTCTGGGGCTTCATGCACCCCACCCCCACACCCCGAGGAGGGAGGCAAGGGACTGCCCAATTCTACAGGGTCTCCTGATCGACAGCTGGGAGCCTGGGCCAGCTGCTTGTCTACACACTGCCATTTAGTTCCCTGCAAAGGCCCCTTCTATACACAGGTTAAAGCCCGAGGTCTCCTGTCTTCTATTTATCGCCCTCTCTATGCTGCCCCTCCTCTCCCTAGCTCACGGTATCTCAAGGCCACCTGCACCGCCAAGCTCAGGAGGGAAGGCAGTGCCTGACCTTGACCACTCACCCATCAAGCCCTAATGACCCTGCCCACTCAATGAATAGTGGCACCAGCAGCCATCTATCCCTCTGGACACAGCCAACTGGACAGGTGCTGACACATGACCAAGATGGGTCAGAGTCCTTTCCCCAAACTCTGCACCCATGGCCACATTTGTTGGAGCCCCACAAGTCCACAGGATACATGAGTGGACACCAGACCAGAGACTGGCCAGAGCCCTCTCCTTAGAATATGAATCAAAACACTAAGTTCCCAGCCTTATTCTGACAGGTCTCTGGGAAGCAGAGATGACCCCAGTAACTGTGGTGGCCAGTTTTTCAGCCCAGTGGACTATGGAACTGAGAAGGCAGGTCTGCATGGAAACCAGGATACAAGCTGAGGGGTGGGAAATGCAGAAACTTCCCATTACTGACTCCCGTTTTTCCATGTGGGGTTCCGTGAGACGTCCCTGGGTCCCTACGGATGGTGCACCCTTCTTTGCTGAAGTTACCTTAAGTAGGTGTCTGTTACTTATAACTAGGAGCCCTAATGCACACAGCCAACCCCTCCACCTTCAAGTCTGCAGTTTTCTTCTGACCCCACCTTCAGATGCAGAAGCAGCGGCACATATGCAGCATGGAAGTGAAATGACTCAGCTCAGTCTAGCTGCCTGGAGAGTCAGGGCCTCAGAAATTGGAATCAGGGGCAGTGAGCGGGCCACTCACTCCTGCATGAATGTAAGCAGTAATGGAATCCACCCATTACTTTTCAATGCTTGTGAAGAAGCACAAGAAACTCAAATAAACCCTAGAACTGGTGGGGAAAAAGGAAACAACTACACATGATAAAGCATAGGACTGGCACAGGAATTTACACAACAGATTAACAGGCACTTAAGAGCAGAACACCTTTTACAGCAGAGAAGACCAGATTTCAGTCTGTTTCTGACTCACATCCAATTGTGTTTCAAGAGCTAGTGGTAGAGGTCAAGGACATGGGTCAACCCTGAGTCCAGCATGGCAAGGCCCCAGTGGAACTGCTGTAAGACAGGCAGGCACAGAAGGCAAGTAAAGGGGCCCCTGGGAACCTTCAGCACCTGTCCCCACTGCCTGAGGCACCTTTTCTCCTTACAGCAAAGGCTGCCCAAAGCCTCTGGGAATTTTACTTAATAATCCTGTGTTCTGGCAATAGTCAGACACCAGAATTAGCAAAATACCGGATTAGTAAATACCACACTTGTGATGCCCACACAGGAAGCAGATCTGCCTGAGCCCCGTGACCCATCGCCCTCACGGTGATAGCTGTCTGCCAGGAAGGCTGAGTCCATGGGCAGCTCCTGGAGTACAAGCTTGAAGGTAAGGGTCCTTCTCCACACCCCCAACAGGAACCGACCCCCACGAATATCTCTGGCTCACAAGTCCAGCCAGGCTACAAAATTAGTTCATGGAGACTAGACCATCCATACTCTACTAGTCCAGTAAGCAGAAAGTAACATCTACCTCAAAGTATTAACCACCTTAAGTTCTGTCCTGTCATAATCCCACACAGCTTGTGGGTTAGAATGACCAATACAGAGAGATCTGAGGTAGGAGACTATACCTGCCTGCTACACAGCACAGGTAAGAAAGACCTATTGGAAAACAGCTGTCACTTCCCTAGAACGGCAGCCTTCGGGGACCTGAGAGTGCCCTGCCTTCGCTTTCCCTCGCGGGGGGAACAAGCATGACCGACCAGCGCAGCAGGAACAAGGGCGCCTTCAGAACCGCATCAAGTAGACGGTACGACACCTGCTGAGCAGACCTCAGATTTCCGGAGGTCACAACTGTCCTGGCAACACGTCTCTTGCTTCTAGTGTGTTCCAGGAGACCAAAGCCAGTGCCACGGGCGTGGGCCACAGTGGGGTTGGGAAGGTTACACGTCTGCTGGCATAGGCACAAAGCTCTTCTAGAAAGTTTCTACCAACCAAGCACCTGAAACGCCCGTGTCTTCTCACCTTAGCCAACCTATTTGGCTCAGCAGCAGGGGGCACCGAGTGGGTGAGTGCCCTGTGCCAGGACAGTATGGCTGTCAACCAATGTCAATGCCGTCATGAAGCTAGGAGTGCAACTGGGCAGTTTATGACTGGAATCATCAACTATGTAATGTAGAACATTAACTATGTAATAGAAAACCATGTATATAAAATTCAATGCAATTTGCGTGAAATATTTAACTGAAAACTAAAACATTAATCCAAACTGACTGCAGGAATTACTCATGAGGACGTTTTGGCCAAACTACCTGAAAGAGGATTAGAATAAAAGCTGAGGTTCTCAATTAAGAAAACTTTTGATTGTATGTAAAGATGAAAGTGTAAGAAAAACCCAAAGTCACCCCCCCGCCCCCCATTTG